CCTCCTGCAGCTTCTCCATGTTTTCCTTATGTTTTTCATGGGCCTTCTGTAAGTCTGCTAGCTTGACTTTCTCTGCTTTAAGCTCCTGTGCTGACAAAATAGACTGCTGTTGTAGTTTATTCTCCAGTTCTGCCTGAAACATACGCATAGGAAGTTTCAATTAAAGTTACAGACAGTAAAGTAAGCTTAATCATTTCAATAAACTGCATTTCTACTGCAAGATGAGATTTTTATTCCACTTACAAAATAGCAGTTCAGTAATCTGATGTTTGTGATTTTACAGTAATATTTTGTAACTAATTTAACAACAAAATTTAATTCATGTCAAAAGACTAAGTGAAACACATTAAGACCAAATGTTAAAAATCTAAACAATGTTTCCAAGTCCTAAAGTTTCCACAGACTGACTAAAGCACAAATACAATCATGTAGCATAGGGCAGCCAAAGCTGGAGCAACATTTAACAGTGCATGGCACACAACACAACATTCCCTACTGTTGTAAGACATTTGAACTCTTTCCATTATCGTTTATGAGTTTCATACTGTCACTTAGATAAATTCTTTTGGTATAATAAGAGCAGACTTGGTTTAAAACTGCCACAGACATTCCAACACACTGCAGAGTTTGTCTAAACTACTCCCACAAAATTCTACTGCTTTACAAGAAAATGGCAGCTCTTGCCTCCTGCAGCAAATTAAACACATTCAATCTAGCCATTTTTATCACTTTATTGAAACTCAATTCCTACAGAATTCATATTTCAGCACTGGTTCTTTTTACTTTATTATTATTGTTGTTGATGATGATGTTTCTATCTCCAACAGCACGTGAAGACCTCGTTTCCGCATCCTGACCTTATCATTTCCAACAAGACTACAGCAAACAGCTGTTTATCACAAAGATATTGACATAAAAGCTGCAGCATTATCAGAGAAATTTACATTAATTTTCTTAAAGGAGTAAGAGAGGCCAGTCTTACCTTTTCTAAATGGGCAGTTTTTAATTCAGCTTGCAGTGTCTCACTATGTTTTTTCTTCTGCTCAAAAGATTCCTTTAACTCTCTCAGCTTTCCCTGAAGATGTTGTTCACTTTTTTCTTTCTCCTTCAGAAGACCCTGAATTTCCAGTACTTGCGCTCGTGCTGAATCAAGTTCTATCGACAACTGCTTAGAAATCTATATTCAAAAATATTAAATAACTGTATATAATTTTAATCACTATTTGTACATGCTGTAGTATGTGAAACTGCCTATTGAACCGAGTGGATGACAAATTACCTAGTCCAAAAAGCAAACAGACATTTTCACAGATGAAAAACTGGTCAAAGCTGTTAAAGCTGAAGATACAGCTTCAGGAAATCAGCTCCCAAAAGACTGCTAGAAGTTGGGAAGAATCCCCTGACTGTAGGAATCTGAAAGGCTTGTCCTATTCTACTTTTCTCTAGGCACCTGTTACTTTCCTCTGCCAGAGACCAAACACCAAGCTACACCTTTCTTGTAATCCAGTATGCCCACTCTCATGTTTTTACAGAGAGCTGCAGATTATTTGCAGGAAACGGTTTCCAAGTATGCTACTGTTATTTCTTGTACACAGAACCAGACCATCCCACAGTGCCACTGCTCCTACCTTCTGCTTCAGAGCTAGGTGGTCAAACATTGGCAAGCAGATTTTAAGAGCTGCCATAACACATTAAAATCATCTTTTTTTCCCCAATTTCCTACCCTTAGAGCAGCTGCAGTATTTTTTCACCATTCAAAATTAAGAGCAGGCAACTTTTCTCCAGCTAGCAGTGGTCTGGGCTCTCCTGCTGCCAACTGCAGCAGATACCAAATTCATCCTCCTGCACTTGCTGCAGAGCACCATAGTGCTTCCGCTGAATGAGAGAGGAGCCAGGGGAGTAGCAGCAGTAGGTACAGAGCAATTACCATCACACCTGCACATCCACAAACCCTCTTTCAGGCAGTAAGAGTCCATCACAGTCTGTCAAACTGTGTCCACTGATCTTATCTTTTCCGATTCCTTTGGGGAACAGGTGACAGCTTGGGTAAAAAAATCCATGAAAGCGGATTTGGCCTTCAGGCTGCCAGCTGGACTACATTTTGCAGTCTGAATGCTCATCTTTAAAAAAGAAGTACATTTGGTCCTTGTGCAGTCACAGGCAAGTGACAAACACAAGTTTGCAAAAGCAACTAAATTCTTCAAGGATATCTAAAAATGTCCTGTCAACCATAAAACAGAGAACATACTGATTAGGCCTGAGACTAAAACAGATCTAAGGATACAAGGTAACAACTTTTATTGTATGAAAGTATGAAAAAAAAAAAAAAAGAGGACACGGTACTACCAAGTAACTGTTTCACTAATGAAAAAACCTGAAGGGCTAAAATCCCTAAAATCCCTAAAATACTAAGGTATGCCAGGCACAGAAAGGTAGGAGTAAAACCTGTATTTTAAAGCTTCATATTAACATCTAGGAAATTTTTAGTATCAGCTTATTTCAGTGCCCCAGGTAGGTTACAATTTGAGAACTGCAACCTCTTTATGTCTCATCAGTCCCAGCATGTGAGACTGAAAACGAATCTTTTAGACGTTTATTATTATTGGTTTCTAGATTTTTGAAACTAGGTGGACAGCTTACCCCCTCCTTTTTTTCCAGTGAGTTTTTCAATTCATTCCTCTCTTTAGCTACAGACTCTGTTTGTACCTGGAGCTGGTGTTTTACTTCTTGGCAAGATTTTTCCTAAAAAACATAAGACAAGGAAATATTCCTGTGAGCTTTGAAGACCAGGTACCAGGTATTTTCGCATGATCTACAAAGCCTTGAAAAATAATGCTTTCCTTTTCAGTGAAAAAGCTTTCCTTCTCAGCTGCAGACATATTTTCAGCTCAAAACTTCTCAGAACTTTAACAGTGGTAAATCTAAGCTGAACACAGCTGATCCCTGTACTAACAAAGGCAGCCATGTGCCAGCGAGTTCGTCTGACTAGAGATAGTCTCCCTGCTTGAAGCTGCTGTTGGCAGCCCTTCTTCTTGTGGGAAGCAGTAAGCTCATCACTCTCCTCAGGATCCAAAATTTCTTGATGTTCTAAAACTCACAAGCAAGTACACTTGCAGGACTTGTATGCAAATACAACTACATTTTAAGCCCAAATACTATGCACTTAAAACCATGGCGAGCCTCCAAATGACTACAGAATTAGAAGCAGAATCTGGACTCCTGTCTAAGTCTAAATCAGGGAGAAAATCCTTCAATTTTTTAGGAGAAACAAATATTTAAACAGCAGTAACTAAGTAAAGCAAACAAAAAGGCTTATCTTGAAAAGGTGAAAGAGTAAAGTAAAAAATGTTATTTTTAACTAGGAGCGGAATTTTTTTTAGATCAGAATAAAAGCAGCTCTGAATGGGTTCTAGGAAATGGTGACACGTAAGATGAGAAGGGAATGAGAAAGACACCCCTACCATGTCTGAGGCAGGCGTGTCAGAACCGTATAGGAAAAATCTATAAAACGTATTCATATAGTGCTCATTCATATTGCCAACAAACAAAAGAGGGAAGAAAAAGGTGTATTTTAAGGCTAGTGAGAGTTCACTTTCTTTACCATAATAGGTTGGTCTGGTGGTCAAGCACTTGTTATACCACCACTTGCGAGGCCTTTCTGAAACTCAAATAGTTCTAGTACTCTGATAACACCTGAAGCTAGGCATCTCCCCGAACGACAGATGATGTTACTCTGCCTGCAGTACGCAGCCTTCCAGCGTGTCCACACAAGTGCACGGGAAGGTTCTATATACAAAGACTCCAGAAAGGAAACTAAAATGGCCTCAGAAAAACGACGTCTTCTTCAATATGGTGGCACTTTAGCAAAGCGTTTATAATTTTGTGTTGCTATAATAAGGCTGATGTATTTTTAAAAAGGGGGACATTTCCCATCAAATTGTTTCACCACTTGTCTCCATTTAGTTTCTTCACCATATTAAAGGCAGGCAGCAAGAAAAAGGGATCCTGTTGTGTGATATGACTGATGTTTACTACTGTAAGCATCCAGACAAAAATTTAAGGTAGGACACACGTATGAACTACTAAAAATCGCAATTTGTTTTTCCTCAAGGCAATTAATTTCCATGCATTGTCATTGTATGTACACTGTTTTCAGACAGAAAGCAAAGTCATTTTATCAGACTGTAAATACACCAAACAATGTCTAATGAAAGAAACTACTAACCATTTCTGCCACAGCTGCTTTTCCTTTTTGTATTTCTTTTTCTAATTCCTCCTTTCTTTTTTTGAAGGATTCAGAATTTTTTGAGAGCTTGTCTTTGGTAGCTGTAAGGTCTTTTAATAGAGTATCCTTCTCTAATTTCACTTGTTGCAGCTCTGATGTTGCTGCTTGCATTTTACAATCCAATTCCTTGAGTTGTTCACTTGTATCTTGATTTGATTTCTCAAGGTTTTGTTTGAGGCTGGCCTTTTCCTCCTCCTGCTTTGAAATTTGCTGTTTCGCTTGTTCAAGGGCCTCACATTTCTTCTGCAAATCCAATTTAGCATTAGATAGCCTGCAAATACAAAGAGAAAAATATATTCTTTTTTTTTAATTCTTCTTCACGGGTTCTTTTGTATTATTCAATGTCTCTATTATTTAATATATTAACTGTAGAAATACTTCAAAGCATACCTTTTTCATCCAGAGCATGGGCATTTTGTCTCTCCAATGAAGACATACCAGCAACTCTAAAAACTATTTTGAGATGGATTTTTCTTCCTCAACTATAATGAACAGAAACTACCCCTTTGCTGCTTATGCATAAATTGCAAATTAGTCTTCGAAAAAAGTTACAGAGCTGTGGATATTTAAAGAGGGACCTCACTACCTCAAACTGTTCAGATATTCAGCTGACAACAAGCACAGTGAATAAACTGAAGAAGTGTATTGAATCACAGCAGTCAGTGATTCACATGAGACAACATGGCAGATGGAGTCTGCATGGCATATAGAGTGAAAGAAAACAGGTGGGATAAAACTCAGTTCTCATAGCAGAGGGAACACATCACTTATCTATGGTTCTATGAAATCACAGAAGAGAAGAACAAAATTTCAACTCCAGTCCAAACCACTCTAGTTTTACGTCTGACTTTGAAAAGTACTGTAACACAGGAAATGCATACGCTTCTGTTGCTGCTTCAAGTTGTTTAGTCAGTTCTGCTGTTCGGAGGTCTAGTTCTGTAGATTGCTGTCGCTGCTGCTGTAACTCCTGAAGAGCTTGTTCTTTGCTTGCTTTAGCATCAAGAATGTCAGCTTCAAGTTTCTGAGATAGAAAAATAAAAAGTTAGAGCCATCAGAACACAACCAACAAAATAAAAACAGCAATAAGAAGCAGAAGTCATCTAGTCTGTGAGTAGCATTTAACTGTAGAAAGCCTTTACTGTAGGAAGCAGTCACAATTCTCACACATCATCTACCTATTTCATTAGTTTGCTATTTATCTTTCATTATTTAGTTCCTGCAAATCTCTTGCTCCTCCAGAACTGAACTATGTTGGTAAAACATTCTGAAATCATCTTTAAACTAAAGGCCAAGCAGCCATTTTACTGCCAAGTGATAGATAAAAAGCAGAAATCTTTAAAAAGCATATCCAAAACATCCACAGAAAAAAAGGCCATGCACAGTGCTCAGCTTTGGGGCCGGGTTCTCAGCCACCACCAAGTAGTTTCAGCAGTTTCAAATGACTGCTGATTTACATATCCCAAGAACTCTGCCATTCTTTCTAACAAAAACAAAGACACGAACTACAGCTGTGAAGAAATCCTGTGCTCACTTGGAAGAGGTTTTTCTTAGGGTTTTTTTTCAAAGGTACTTGTTCATTTACATGGAGTATAAAGAACACAGGGGTCTTCAGCAAACAGGCACTGCTTAGACTCTTCAACACACTGGCTGTTTTACAGGCACTTCTGCTTTCATGCAGTGGTCATAAAACAAAATGGCCAAGTTTCTCTGAGAAAATTCCTGAGGGCTTTTTGTTTTTTTGTTGTTGTTGTTTTTTTTAAATACTATGCATTCAACTGGAATATTCCCAAAGAATGGCAATGACACCGAGATTTTACACAGAATTGCATTCCTGTTGACAGCATCAACAACCCTGCTCAGTTTCACACTTCAGCTATCAGGAACCTCGTGAAATCTTGTGCAAGCAAGCACTGTATTCCTCCCAAGCATTTGTGTCTGTTGGTTAGTCATGAAACTTCAGCAAAAGGATGAAAAATAAAAACAGAAATGAAAGTGGGCAGAAAAAAAACTGTGCAAAAGAAGAGAGAGGTGGAAACACAAAATAATTACGCTAATAATGCAAATGTATGACTGCTTTATTTTTTAATAGCATTGGATTTAAAATTCCATACAGGGAAAACAACCTTCCTTCTCTTCTATAGAGCACATAAGCTAGGAAAAACACCCCACTCAGTCTTGAGCATAAAGACTGATATCTCCTTCAAAACAGACAGACAGCATTCCAAAACCAGTTCTGCATTGCTCCTAAGATCCCTGTATCATACGGTTTTATGTGTCGTGAATTTTGACCACCAAGTTTGCTTAACAAATATTGAACAAAGGTTAAAGCCCAAATTTAAAAGCTCTCAAGCATTAGGACTAATTCATATCCTTAACTGAAAACATTAGTATCTCAAAACACCAAAAGGTTCTGCAAACCTTCTGCCAGAATTATGTGTACTTTAAGAGAAAAACTGATTCCAGAAATGGAATGCAGAACTCAAGATCAAGATAGAGGAAAAACATTGATTAAAAAATCTTGATAAAAAGCCTCTGTAGAAGCCTACTGAAAGGCTTTAGAAATAAATTAAACCAGACAGGTAGTGTTGTCTTAGTCTAACCAATGTAACACATATTCCCTGCTACCACTTGTAAAGCGTACAAGGTTGAACTTGAAGACTCTAATTTTGGGAAGTATTCATGTTCCCTCTCATAACACTTTCCAGGTAGCACAGAGTTTGGTAGAAGCACACGTACAGGAAAATGACAATATAGTGGCAATGTCCTAAGCCTATCTTCTTAGTGTGATATGCTAGCATGGAAGAAGAGGAGAATAAGATTAAAGGCTGGATCAGGAAACACTAGTGAAAAAGAAAATCTACAAAAGTGGTATTGATATAATCCTTCCCCCATAATTTGAGCACAGCTTTTATCACATACTATCAAACAGCAGAGAATATCAGTTTCTGTAAGCTCACTGTGTTCAATACAAACCTTAAGCTGTCCCTCTAGCTCTTCAGTTTTCTGTTCTAAATAAAGACGTTTCTCTTTGTACTCTTTAAGATTGGCTTCCAGCTGAGCACAGTATTCCTGCTTATCATTCAGCTTCGCTGTAACCTGATCCAACTGAACGCTGACCTTATTTAACTCCTGAGGTAAAATAAAAATACGAAGGTGGTTAGTTTTTAAATGACTTCCAAAAATGACTAATGCCACATATGCTTTAAATGATCTAACATGTTCAAATTAAAAAGGAAAATTATATTTCTTTTTTATTCTGAAGGGCAGGAAATTGAGAGGGGAAACACAAACACGTGCACAAATTCCCTCTGTTAAACTGCCGAAATTTCTTTTAAAGCCTCAATATTACTCTCAAACTTTATAGGCTGTGGGCTAAAGGTGTTTTAAGTTATAAATGGAAGAGGAATTGTAGATAATAAATGTACTAGATCGTGCAGTTAGTACAACAGTAACTAGAAAGTAACACTACAAAACCTTAGAGAAATGCTGTCTTCATGAAATCAAGCACCATCAAAGAGGAAAGCCAATACCATGGAAACAGTCAGTTCTCCACATACCAGAGATGATTTCAAACCATTTGGTCCAACAAAAAACAATGTAATTTCAGCAAGAGACATGAACACATTCACCTAGTAACCACTATGATGGTTACATCAAAGCTCATTGCTTTCCAACCAAGCTGATATATTTAATTATTAATTAATTATTTAATAGTTGCAAAAAGAGGTCTTCTGTTTGTCGCAATTAATTACATTCCCACCCTAAAAAATGGTCTTATGTTAGCATCTGCTGGATGTTTCCATGAACACCACAGCAGCACTGATTCTAACAATGCAAATATTTGATTCAGCAGCCAGAGTAATGCTTCACTAGGATTAACACACATTAAAACATGCAACTTTAACAACAGTCTTTTGGTTTTTTGTGTCAGTTGGCACACAGATAATTACTTCTGAATACAGGCATCTGATTCGGAATTTATCTGAATCTGCAATAAGAGTTAAGAGTTTTCACTTGTACCCAGTGCATTCTACAATCTTTTCTTCGTAGCATACAGGTGAGAATTGCATTATACCCCAATAGGACAGCTTAGATTCTGAACCATAATCCTACAGCAAGGAGTGGATTCCTAAGTAAATTCTTTACACTGCAAAATGTATCTGGCCCAGATTACAGCAAAAAGAACTGAATACATATCACACGGTTAAAATATCCTAAATGATGATTTCCAAATGCATAGTCACATGTTTATTTAGTTTGTAAACAGACTATTCTTAGATTTTAAAGTAGTTTTTTAGGTAACATAGAAACTTCATGTTTATGTGTTGCTTATAACCTGTTGCTTATCTTGCAGTGCATGCTGGGCAGTGTCCAGATGATTCTGAAGATCTGCTCTTTGAGCAGCTTTCGATGCTTCTGCTGAAAGTAGCAAATCAGTCTTTGCTTTTACCTGAAAGACAAATTGTGTTTCACTAAAACACCTATTTTACCGTAGCTCTTTTTAATTTTTTTTATACTCATCCGTAAGTTTAATAGTAAAATCAGTAGTTTTCATGTGCTAGTGTAAAAAAAAAAAAAAAGAAAGATTTTCAAGGTTTAGAAAAATAGCAGGATTTTAAGCCACAGTTAGTTCTTACTTTGAGCTAAAAAAACAGACAAACAAAAGAAAACCCACCAGTCCCACTCATCATCTATTCTAGGAAAATATTTTTACTTACTAACAAAGAACAATGGGATAGACTTACCGCATTCACACCCATGCATGCCTTGATAACCTCAGACTACATGGACATTTAAGGGTCTCCAAAATTTTTAGAAACAAAAAGAATAAAAAACAACAAAAATAAGCTTCCACATGCATACTACTTTTCTCTGCTCCTATTTGCCTTTTAGGGAGCAAGCCTCCCTTCCTTCCAAAACAACCAGCAAACAAAATTTAGAAGGTGGGTATGAATGGTGTTGGTGCAGAGAGGCAATATTCAGGGTCACCTGCTATTGTGGTTTACTGTTTTTCTCCCTAATAGAAATGCTACTTCTCTGAAGACTGTAAGGAAGCTCACATTGCCTTAAAAAGCAGTTGCAACACTCCATAGATCATTCAATTCTAGCTCTAATGCCTTGGTGAAAAAACAGCTCAGATAGATAGTGTAGCGAAGCCCAGTAAAAGCATCGCAAAGCTACATTGGAAGACGTTCCTAGACCTGTTTGGAAACTGAGCAACACTAATTCAAAAGACACCACAGTGTATTAATCCAACAACAACAGTACTAGCTGCTCCAAGTGTACCGATGCAAGAACTTCTGATCAAATGTTATTTATTCTGTGGGATAGCTGAACATAATTAGCAGCTTTTAGCTTAAGCAGACTTTCACTCTGGTGCAGAGAATCCAGGACTGATAAGAGCAGAGTTTTGGATAGCTAATCATTACAAATACAACAAGAGATGCTTGAGGACAGATTTTCCCAACTCAATTATGAACTTTGGGGTTGGTTTAAATAAACAACAAAAACAATATAGACAAAACCAACAACAAAAAAAAACAACACTTGCCATCCATTGCTATTCTGAATCCACTTACATTTTCCTCAATTTTATCTGCCTTATTCTACTTCATTCGTCTGTTAGTAGAAACATGCAATTTCTCCCAAATTGCTTTGTACGTTCTCTGGAGAGAATACAGAAATCACAAGCAGGATTTATCATCACCAGACGGTATAGAGTTCCATTACCTGTACATCAAGTTGTGAAACTTTCTCTTTACTTTCATTGAGCTGGCTGGTTAGTTCAGTGATGTTTGCTTCCAGGGAGAGCACACGGTCTTGAGCAGCTCTTAGATGTGCCTTTTGCTCCTGCACTTGCTCATGCAAATTCTCTTGGGCTTGTTTATGACTTTCTGATTGATTCTTCAGCTTCTCTGTCAGCTGAGTTACCTGCAGTGAAAAAAAAAAGAAAGGAGGTAATTAGAAGAGAAGGCTGGAACAGCACGTCCAAGGAAGTCATAAATCTTTTTAATTTTAGCGTGTCTTGTCATGGCTTTGGAATCTCAAAACTATCACATTTCTTTTTCTGAACTATTACAGTAAAGCTATATTGTACACAATACCAGAATTTAAACAGGTTACTAGTTAAAAATGGAAGCAAAAGGGATTTGTCAATTTGGCCTTACTGTCACAAAACCAAAATACTAAGGAGACAACAGATGCAGGCTAAACTGAATTTTGGTGTTGAAAGCAGGAATTAAACCTCTTTTTAAAGTAAGAGAAACAAACGTGTATATGTATCCAAAAATTATTTGTAAGCGCATATTACTAGCATATGTACATAGGAAAGAACTAGGAATTCCTTCCCCTATGCTGATAGCAAGGAAGTCACCAAAACACAAGTTCTGTGAAATTTACAGAAAGATCTTTAAAGTAAGTATCAAAGAAACAGCAAAGTACAGAAAAGATTAATGTCATATCTGATGGGATAGGAAAAAAGGAAACATGATTCAATAATGAGAGTGAGCGAAAAGAAACAAGTCTCCGAGTTCCTACCTGTATTTGCAATGCATGGTTTTTCTCTTGTAGCTGGTTAAGAACTGCAGTTTCTCCTTCACCAGCTTGAATTTTTGCATATAAGTCCTCTCTTTCCTTTTCTAGCAGAGAGATGTTTTCTTTGCTTTTTTGAAGCAAAGCCTCAAGATTTTGAATTTTTTGGTCCTTATCTCCAATTTGTCGTAGTACTTGCTCCAAATCATTCTAGAAAATTGCATAATAGCTTCCTTAATTATAGGGACCTTAGAAGTTATTCCTGATGCATAAAATACTGGATAAATTTATTAAACGCTCTCTGTATATTCTGTTCTAGAGTTACAAGTTAATTTATTGAAACTAGTATAAGTCACGCAAGTCATTTTTACAGAGAAAACATATTGAAACTAATGAAATCCTGAAATACACTTTCATATGAGGATACATAACTATGTTACCTGGGCTTCTCGTAGTTTTGCTGTAGTATTTTGCTGAAGTGTCTGCTGTTCCTGGTGCTGCTGTTTTGCCTTATCTAATTGATGTTGCAATTCTGTGGAATTTGCTGCTTTTTCCTTTAGCTGAAAAAAAACAGCCAACCAACCAACCAGACCATTCAGTATGCCAACAGTGCTTAATGTTCATTCCAATGCTAAAAGATTTTACTCTAAACACGAATATTTGAAAACTGGTATAAAAATAAAAGTGTGTGATGCTAGTTAACAAATCAAAATCTAACCAAAGCATTCATTACTATTAATAGGTGAGATTCTGAATCACAAGCGAGAACTATAAAACAACTATCAGACATATATGTATTTTAGCGCTCAAAAATCTAAAACATAAGAGATTTTTAGTATGTTTTTTCCAACAGTTGTTAAGATGTAACGACTGATAATATAGATACCTGTAAAACAACATTATTATTACTATTATTAGCAGTTTTAGTAGCAACTTCAGTTTAGCAATCTCTCCACTTCTATACTGGTCAAGGCTTTGCAAATTAGCTACAGAAAAGCTTTAAAGCTTTGGCAACGTACCACTCAGATATTTGGCCAATCCCCATACAGGCAGCAGAAAATCAGCAACGTATACAAGATGCTCATTAAAACAAATAAAAATTAATAAAACAAGTGATTTCTGCCCATCCACCCCACGCAGGTTATTAACTATCAATGACCTGCTGTGCCACGTTCACTTTTTCTTCATGTAGTGCTTTATCTCACAAAAATATCTACATACTAAAGTTTACCGATATGAGCTTAGATGCACCTAAGTCTTTTTTTCACAAGAACCTTAGACAAAGCTCTTAAGTGCAAAAAGCACATCTTTTGTTCATCTGTAAAGCACCATGTACATCCATGCATCTGATAAGCATTTAGCCTTACAAAACCTGTTAATGCAAGTGGCATTTCAGCAGATCTTGACAATTTTACTCTAAGACTTTAACACTGTTAGTCAAGTGAAATTCCCTTAAGGACAAACTTTATGAACTGCAACATCACTACAAGTGTATACAGGCTACTATCAGAACCAGAGCAAACTAGAGCCTCCATAAAAGCCCCTACCTGCTCTTCAGCACGAGAAAGTTTTAACTGCAGATCAGCCACCTGCTGCTCTTTGTCCATCAGTTTCTCACTAGACAGCTGCCTCTGTTCCTTGAGCCGCCCGTGTGCTTCCCCTAGCTGGCGCTCTGTTTCTAGAAGTTTACTGTGCAACTGGAAAAAAAAAAGCATCCATTTTTTCAGCCATTCTTTAGCCAACAGCGCTGCGTTTTAGACTCACTTTGCGCAGTGTTTACCAGAAGTCTTCATAACCCAGAGTGAAACAAGTACACGAGCTCCTGAAGTCATGTATGCACATCATACACCTCAGAAACACAAATCATGTTAAAAAACAGCATCAACTGCACAAGCACAAACAAATATTCAAAAAAGTAGGTTGGAGGGACCCAGAAACATCCTCATTTATCTACAGAAGCCCTTCAATACGAGTTACAGAGATTTAACAGAAACACAGAGGGCAATCCTTCAAAGACATAAGGATTATCATGTAAAACAGTGATGCTTAGAGCAATCTCATCTTACACAGCGCACACCCTCACTCCTGTACATCCACTGGCTGAAGCACCATGCCTTTACCTGTCCTGCTGGTTCCCACAATATACTGTTCTGCATTGCTAGACTAGTAAGATTGTGATTTTTAGCTTGATCTGGCTACATCAACGGCATTCATTCTCTGCAGAGGAGACACATGAACCTTCAATGTAAGGCACACAGTAATTTTGGTGGCTTGTACCCCAGCACCTCCCAGCAGCAGACAGTAAGTAGGGGGATGCGCTCTTCCAGCTGGACATAAGCCTGCCTTATAATTTTTTCAGTCATCAAAAGCAGTACTGCACCATCTTCAAAATGCAAGTGTGGCCTTTTACAATTCACTGTTATAAAAAGCTGCCTCCATAAAACCAGCTTTTCTTCTATTTGAAGCTGTCACTATAGGCCCTGGGTTACCTCCTGCCTACTTCTACATGAACACATTCACAGATACAGAAATGAACTTCCAACTCAATGCAAAAAACAGAGTATGGATCAGGCCTTGCAGCACAGCAAGAACTTTCTACAGGTATCAGGATGAATGAAGCTTGCTTCACTATGAATTTGTGTCCAAGACCCCTGAACCATTCACCTTTTAACTCCAGGTCCTCCCTTCAATATCCCTAAACCTTTCTCACATTTTCCTCAAATCCCTGCTAATATCTAGGCAAAAGGCAGCACAATCTTGTTGCTCACTGCAAGTTACCACTTGGTGACCAGCTGGCCGCCTAGAGGGACAGAAAAAGGAACAGCGGTTTTGATAACATTAAATCTTCCCCCCAGGCATCGAGGGGGTGAGGCATGAACATAAGTCTCTCCTTTACCCAGCTGCCTGTTTCCACAAGCATTTAACACTGAAGAACCTAACGCTGAAGACCTCCGGGCCATCTGTCAAAATTTGGCCAAAGTTATCAAACTCCCCTGCAAAAGTTACAGGGGATGGAGACAGGGAAACAAATGTGTCTATGCCTTATTTTCTTAGGAAACCAAGCTAAATTATTTGTTTTTGTGTCCACAACCACAAAAACTGTGAATGAAAAGCTGTTTGGCATGTGGTTTGAGATGCTGGCTGCTAACTGTGAGTGCACAGCTAAGAGAGAGGTAGGAGAAGAGGGAGGACATGGTGAGGAAAGAGACCATCATCTCTCCTCCAGTTATCAAGAACATTTGTCTTTTTCTGCAGGAATCACTAAATTATTAATACTTCTTCCTCACTAAAAATATGAACAAGAGCTGGAGGAAAAAAATCTAATGAAGAAAGGGTACAACAAGATAACTATTCTAACTATTCATGGCTATGTTAATACTGGGAGAGAATATTTGGAAAGAGGGAAATCAGCAAACAACAATTTACAGAAGTCACTTTTATTACAGTCACAGTTAAGTATTTTTGAAGGACTTTAAGATTGACTTTAAGTAAACAGAACTATAAAATCCAGGATTAACCTATGTTACAGAATACAAAAATCATAAAAAATTTAGACTTTCAAAGATACAATCAGGTAGATTCACATTTTCTCAACAACAACAGTATTTATTAGCAATTAACACTTCTTCAAGACTGAAGGAGTCCATATTTTGCGTTACCCTTTTCCTATTGCTGTGCTGGAACCAACATTATCATTGAAGTTTTCTTCCATTGTGAAGATCACTTCCTTCACATGACCCAAATTCTAACATATACAAACTTAACCAGACATGCATCTGTTCAAACGAATTTTGAGAAGATGGCAAGGATTCTTTGAAAATGTGGTTTGATTAAACAACTATACATATAGCTTCATAAGCAGCATTCATTGTGTCATCATAAGCTATTGGACTACATGCATAAAAAGATAATTCCATTAAAGTATTAAGTGAACAAATATGAGGAATTTAGTCTTTTCATGACAAGAGTAACTGAACTCTTGTTTGGAGGGAGAGAGAGGAAGAGAAGTTTTTGCTTGGCTTTAATTTTATTTTATACCATGTATGAAGGGCTTTTTTCCTCCACTATTCTTTTACAATACAATTCTAAAACACATCCTGAGATCCAGCAGCTTGTTCGGGTTTTCTTGCTTAGACTGTCTTCCTTCCCAATGGTATCATCAGAGAATGTGCGATGCCTCCATTTCCTTTCACAGAAATTCATTCAGCGATGCATTATTCACCTTCCTCCTCCTTCATTTTCCCACCCCAAAAATCCTTCCTGAAAATGCCCTCTCAGGCTGAAATCAGATTTCAGCTCAACCTCTTGGCTGTGCTTCTGAAGCTTGCATACATGTTGCCTAGGCAGACTGAGGCAGTTTTACCAAGTCAGGATTCCAAAGCAGATAACAAATATAATTACCTCCCCTCCCCCTGACAGAAGACTGATAGGAGAAGGAAAGTCATTCTGGGGATGTAATACATACATAAATGAAGTTTTGCCAAGCCACAGTTCTTCCAAAATAAACTATACACGCACAACTTGCAACTTAATCTATTTCAGACTTGACAAAGGGTTGAAAATTGAGACACACTCATTTTAAAATGATAAAGTTTTACCAAGAGATTAAAATGAAGTACGTCACACTAACAAAAAAACCAGATTATTTTTTCCATCTTAGGACTGGACACAATTCCTGATGCACAAATATTTCTCCAGTCTAACATACTACTCCCTGAGACACTAGATAAAACAGAGTTCAACCAGCCTCAAATGTCAGTATGCTCAATGTTATACAAAAGTCCTGCTTCCATAACTCACTGGACTCAGCAGAACAATACATAAACGGTGGGGGGACGTATGCTCTGGGTGTTGTCATAGCTATCAGCAACATAAAGAGAAGGTGTTTGTGGAAAAGGAAGCAATATTAAGACTTCATACTATCCCTGCTTTTCACACTAAGTATACCCTACTGTATTCACTATTCAATTTTAAAGCAAATCAAGCATTGTTCAGTTCTAATGTAAAACGAAGACTCACTTCTCTCAAACCTCCTATAGAGTAGTAAAATTACTACTAGAAGTGAAACTACTTCTGATACTCTACCTGAATTTGTTTTTCGCATAACCTGAATTCACTATAGCTTCAGCTACCTTACTGAACCAGAATAAATAACCTTGCTGACTTAGGATTTGTCTATTACCGTATTTGTCATGGAAACTAAATATTCTGGGTTGCCCTCTCATTTGACAACACTTCCCTTACTTCAGGGAATGCATCAACAAAAAAAGGGGAGGGGAAAAATTGTAGGATGAAAGAAGAGTTCATTTAACACTGTAAGAGAAAAAGAGTGGACAAAAAACCTGTCTCAGATCAGCTAAAGCCTTTTTTATTCAAGTACAAAAAAAAAGTAAAATCAGAACATGAGAAAGAAGCTACAAAGTTTATGCTCATTCAATCTTAATCTTCAAAACTGAAATTATAAAGATAGTTTTAAGAAGAGTTCCAGACAGACTGAATTAGTAAGATGTTTCCCTTTCAGAAAAAAGGGAATTATACTACAAAATGTGGAAAGGTGGTTATAACTGTAGATGTTGCTGAGTTTGATTGTGACACAGGGACTACAACAATCCTCGTTTGCCCCTGACAAGAGTTTGGACCTACTAAAAAGGTTCAGACGTAATGACAAACAAATAGCAAAGAATTTCTGCACTCTTATAACAGCCTGTTCTTTTTGCCTGTTCTTTTCTTTACTTCTCTAAGGGGAAGACGTGATTGTATTTCATTCCCTGCAGTGTTAGGAAGAATGCTTTATATTTATTCAAATACCAGCTAGCTTTACATTTATTCAAATACAAGTACTGGTTAGTTACTCCCCTTCAATAAGGAAATGCAAATGCATGTGCATGAAAAATATGCATGCACAGTTTAAAAAACCCTAATGGGATGGTTTAAGGAACCATCCCAATAGGATGGTCTAGGAGGCTTAGGGAACCTTACCTGACTCAGTTCGCTTTGGAGTTGCAGGCCATGCTGCTCTTTTTCCTCCCTCTGCTGCTGGAGCTGTTTACATTCCGCCTTGAGATGCTGGTACTTTGTCTCTACTTCAGACAACTCCTCTTTAAGTTTCTGGCTTGCTTCCCCCTTCTCACCTAGCTCTGTCTGTAATCTCTGTATGGAGGCTTCAGATGCAGACAGCTTTGCCTGAAGCTGTTGGCAGTCCAGGTCTTTCTGGTGAAAGCTTGCCTGCACATTCTTCTTACTCACAGATATTTCATTGTGTTTTTCTTCTAGCTGGGTGTAGTCCTGTTCTTTCTTCAGCAGCTTCTCAGTCAGACTCTATGAAGAGAGTTATACAGCAATTCAAATTGCAATTCTGCTTACAGCTGTTCAATGCGTTATTCAAATTTCTTCTCAAATGTTGATGCTGAACAGTGAAGAACTTGCTCAAAAACATTATTAAAGGAAATATTGACCTCTATTTTGTATTACACAAGTTAATTCTGGAGCCCATACAGCACACAGCTTCAACTGGAAATAGTTTTTCATATTCTCACATAAATCCACTTCTTACTGAGAACACCACACGAACTCTATTTCTGTATCCTGAAGACTAATTTGCTTTCCCTGAACGTTCAAATTCTAGGTTATTACAACTGCATTTGCTTGGGGAAAAGTTGAAACAGTAATTTGAGTTATTAGTACACAGGAAAAGTTTTCAAGTACCAGTGTCCTTCACACAATTCCCTAAGCAACAACATTTGTGGTTTAATTCCTGTATAATCCTGTGCAGTCATCATGCTGGTCATTTTTAGAAGTATCCTAATTTTGCCCTGTCACTATATTTACAGCATGATCTGCTATCCAAATTATGGAAGAGAACCTGTGAAAACTAATAAAACTTGTGATGTTGGTAAATCACAGAATGAAACACTCATGATTTAACTTTCATTTTAGAAGATGATGTTTTTACATTTTAATTCATACCATCTAATTTCCTTGCATACAAATCAGCTCAAAGAGGATGGTTGCTCTGAGTTTGAAAACACTAAAAATTGAGATTCCCTAAAGGAAAGACAAACTTCGCTGAGCGTCACGATTTTTCTTACCACATTAACAACAGTAAATATTGCCGTGTCTAAGGTCATACTATCAAATTTACATGCTGAGACAAATACTGAAAAAAACTATTTACAGATAATTTTCAGCTATTACATAATGCTTTTTATCAAATTTCATGAACTAATCAAAATTATATTCAGATAGAAATTAAATATCTTAAATGACGAGATATAATTCCAGAAAGTTTAGGTTTTCCCCCAAGCTTAGCTGAGGCACTAACTAGAATTTCAAGCAGGACAGGGAAGCCATGGAACCATTTCCATTTTCCAGTGGCACTTTTTGAAGCACAGAAACACAGTTGCAGGGAGGCCCTGGTCGTCATCCAACCCAGGTAATTCATTCCATCTTCTTGAAATGTACCAGCAGGTTCCATTTATTGCAGCATCTTAGTGATATCTATCTCAGTGGAGCATTACTATGCACACCTTTTAAATGCTTGCGTTCTTCCTGCAGTTTCAGTGACTACTATATTCTCTAGTGACCTTTTCAATTAAAATACAGAAAAATAAAGAACACTTCTAGTATGTCAACCTGAAAAAATGCCAAGACTGAGGTTGGTCTTATGTATCGAAACTTCAGACAGTTCTCCAACTTTGGAATAACACTGTTCCAAAGATAAGATAGTCAGTGCCGCAATTCTAGCTATGCTGGGCATCTTAAAAGCACACTTCTGCACAGCATCCAGGAATGAAACCTGTTTTGCTAGAAGAAAAAGCTGTAAAATTGTCCATCTAAGTTGAACAGTTTTGTTCTTTACAGATTTTAACAAATGATGACTATGTTGGTTGTTATAAACCACATACAGACATTTCTATTTTACAATCGTGATAAAATAAACAGAAGAATCTATAAAAAAAGAGAGGTAGAAAACAAGCAGTCTTGCAAATGAGAACTCTAGCAGTCCAGCAACCCACGTGAGAACAAATATAATTAATGCCCTATGTGTCCATTTAAAAAAATACATACTTTCTAAAGCAAACAACTTAGCCAAAAATTCTGGCTCAAGACTAAAGTTTGGCTATTGAATTCTAGCCCTGAAGTAGGGTATTTTGAAATGTTTCTTGACAAATAAAACAACTTGTTGCTGTTACAGGTATGCAGAAGTTTTTATATATGCATATATATAGAATGCAGGAATAGAGTACATAAAGAACATACTGAGGTCCGGTGTCATCCTTATCCTCCTGAAGCCAGTGGCAAGGCTCCCATTGCTTTTAGAAAAGGCTTCACCCTCAGAATGTAAAATAAAGTTGCAATTCCCTTTTCATTAAAGAGAAATGGCCAGACAGGATCATTAACATTCATACTGAATTGTGTTCCTGAAATACCAACACACTACAGCACCTTTTTCATCATAGCTAGGCAAGTTAGAATTAAGGTATTAATATTACTACTTTGTAACTAGACCCACATGTCACATGTAGAACTGCTATGACCCACTTTGTGAAGAGTCAGTGCAGGGCAGTAACTTAAATTTTCAAGTGAAGGGGGGGGGAAAGAAAGAGAAACAGTTAACATCTTGAAGCTGACTGAGACTCTGGGAAGCTTTCAGGAATGCTATATAAAACAAAAAAGAAGCAAAGCTTCTTCACTGTCCCCTCACAAGCTATCCACAGGACAGCCAAGAGCAGCAAAGGTTCTTCACCATCACCCCACAAGCTATCCAAAGGACAGCCGAGAGCAGCAGCTACACATGGTTGGAGATGCTGCTCCACATTCTGTACTACTCTTCTCTCTTCCTCGTTGGTCTGAAGAGCAATACAACAACGAGTACCAGTGTTTGAAGCCACTGTCCCTGACAGCTGAACACCTTCTGCAGTCATGAATGGTCAGACAAAGCCACAAACAGCTGCTGCTACTTTCACGAGAGAAGAGCTGGGTTTTACCAACAGCCTGCTACCTCTGTGCGTGACTGAAGCCCACGAGCAGGCTCAAGGCCACAGAGCTGCCAAGCTATAGTCATTCAGGTTACATCAGTGGACCCAGTGTTTCCTATCTGGAAGCACATGCCAGCTGCATCCCAGATATGTAAAGGGATATGTGGGCACACACCAGCCACCTCTCTTTCCCAAGCCTTGATTTCCACAGAAAAGAAAGAGGGAATGACAGTATGTTCCAGCACTCAATGAAGAGCCCTAAGCCTTCAAAGCTCACAAGATACAAGGGGGAACACCACACTGATCCCTTCTTTTATAACTGCTCCACGGAAAACAACATGTAATACATGTTAGTAGTGACAGTGGCCGGACAGTAAAGAATTTGGTCTGTTGTCACTGACCAAATTTCAGAGTAGTTACATCAGTAGAAGGTTGGAAACTAAGCATTCTTCCCTGCAGTTAATGCATCACAATTTTCCTAAAAGAAAACAAACAAAAACCCCCACATGCAATGGGTTTGGAATTACAAGTCTTACACTTCAGGGAACACACTGTTTTTTCACACATTAGGTCTCTTCTGGGCTACAGGCCATTACTGGCCTCTGCAAGGCAAGCCAAGCCCCATAATTACAATGCTTTATAAATGAAGGCAAGGCAGTTCCTGCACATCTCAGAGAATTGATTTTATCTACTTGTCATCTGCTCTTCTCAGTATAGCTCCTGAAAATATAAGAAACAGCTTGCTTGCTTGAGGTTGTACATGAGCTTGAAAAACTCTGCGTCAATGCACAGAAATATCTTCCTGCATTGCAATGGAATTACAAACAGATGTACGTAGCAAAATGCAATACATTCTATCCTGTATTAATTGCTCCTCCCCAGTCCCTGACAGCTTCTTCAAGGAGTGCAAACTGTTTGAAGGGGGAGCAATTTCTGTTACTTGGGAAGCTAGTCTTACCTTTTCCAATTCTAGGTCCAAGTCCTCCAGGGCCAAGATTCCTTGGCTAACATACCATTCTTATGGCTATCGCCTTTCAAAAAGCTGCATAAAGAGGTAGCTGTAAACTGCTTTAAGTCACTGAAACTGAAAGAGGAAGAGTAGCTCGCTGCCACTTCTCTTCTTCCTGTTCCTCAAGTGGTGTTTGGCATTAACCTGACATAGCAGAGGACTCTCTCTTAAAGTATGGTTATCTTATGCATCAATCTGTTTCACTCCATGTTGTTAATGGAATAGCAATATATTCAGGCAAGGGCTCTATACTATATAGCCATAATTTTGCCAAAAGCTTGATTCAGTGTTGCTGGTCTGTACCGCATGACAATTCTCACCATCTCAGTTCTGCACCTGATTTAATGAGCCAAACCAAAAGTCATTCCACTAAAGGCATGTTTAATTTACCAAATTTTAATTGCACCTTCTTATATTCTTTGCAAATGCTGCTTTAATATGATTACATTAAATACACACTGTTTGGTCTCTGTCCTTTTCTATTTCCCAAGATTGACAAGCTTGCTGGTAACTACACATATGTAATGTGTACAGTTCATATACAGTGTTATATATACACACAACAAAAAGCAGCATGCTTCTTTCTCCTTGTCTCCTTTCCTCCCTTACCTCCGTTTACTACCCCACAACACAGGCTTTCTTAATGCAAATACAAAACACAGCAAGCTCAAAGGGCTTTGATAAAAGCTCTCAAGGAATACTTATAAGCTGGTAAGTTTCTGGAGTTTATTTCAGTTTTCTGCCATTCATGACTGATAAAAGCCCAGAAAGTATGACAGGACTGCAATCTAAAAGTTAAGAAACTGGAAGACCAATGAAGAGAACTCAAAATGTCTTCTTAATTACAATTTTTAAGGAAACGTAATATTTCAAAGGGTACTGCTTTTTTCTTTTAATGTGTGAGATGGCAATACTGCTGAATGATAGGTAAGCATAAACTGCAGCCGTTCAAAATCTGCAATGCTAACAACACTGAGGATTTCAGTTGTAACATACTGATGATTGTTAAAATATAGCGTTTGCTTGTACATTACAATATCCCTCGTGTTAAGCAAAATGGCAAAGGAATTCTCAACTTCTGCAACACCAGGAACTGTTTTGTTACAGTCTTCAGCGCTTCCCAAGGCAATGTGTGAGGTGTTTCCGTTTTAATGTGAACTGACAAGCGTAGAAAATAACAGCATTCTCACCTGGTTTTTCTGTTCTAGCTCTTTGACTGAACTTTGAAGTTTTTGCAGCTCCTGAACATACACAGCTACCTCCTGAGGTCCTTTGGCAAGTTCAGCTCTTAACTGGTTAATGGTAGCCTGAACAGACAAACAGAAAAATCCACATTTAAAACAAAGCTTTGCATGCATATCCCAAACAAAAACAATACGTCTGGTAACAAAATAAAAAGCATCTTGTATACAAATAAACAGCTTAAGAAAACAATCACCTGCAAACACATCTTAGAGCACCATCAGCTACAGAAGTACCACTGAGCATCATTTCCCAGCTGAGATTTGTTCATGTCCTATTTCAGAAGACATAAATTTGCCCCAGTCCAATAGAAAATGCCAGGTTGAGCACACAACCAATGAAAATCACAACAGATTATCCATTAATCATTATTGCAGTTCTAGCTCCAGGTGAAACCCTCCCAAGTCATTGCAGTTACACAGCCAAAAGCTTTGCCTCCCTCGTAAGTGAAATGCACTGGAAAAGGCAGTAGAAGTGAGTCTGGCATCTGATAAAAACTTGATGCGTGACTTTTGGACTCATCAACCCTGCACGTCAGCACAATCAGAGTAACAATACTACTCCATTAAACAGGATTGGTACAGAACAGAATATATCAATGACTGTACAGTATTTGAATACAGTAATGAAAGCAACCAAGAAAAGCACTTTAGACGGGTAAAAATGGCTGCCCTAAAGCATGCTGTGTATGAATGCACTCACTTTGAATACACTATACAATAGTGACCTTTTTAAAGAAGTTTCCTTTCATACTGTTCTCATAACCACAGATTTCAGCACAAAGGTATAAATACTGAATTCAAGAATGAACTGAAGCAGTAGAACAGAAGTAGCAGACAATAACCATACTATTTACAACCTTCCTACAGAAAAAAGAAGACCAAAGAGAACATATGAACACAGTATACGTCTACAAAGTGTTATTAATTCTGACTTTCTGAATGCTGTGCTTTACAAGGCTGTTTCGTTACAGAGCTGTTAGCTAAAACACATCCTGGGATCTGTCTTTGGCAGACAACATTTCAGGATGTTCTCAGAAAACAGAGTATTGATATTTCATTACTGAGAGAATATAATGCAGAAAACGTGCAGAAGCTTGCTAAGGACACCACTGCAGCCTTTTGAACTAGAATTGCAATTTATATTTATAAAGATACATTTCTCTCATTCACAATTCAGTAAGCCACATTTCATTCTTAACATGGAGATGTATCATGGATGAATATTCATTCCTGATATTGTCTGGCTGATGTGTCTGTATGATTAATGAACCAATAAGCAAACAGGAATGCATCTGTTTAACAACCTCTTGAAATTATCTTGATAGAACAGAAACCTACTATAAGAATAAAAAGCTTTCAGAAAAAATTTACCTCAAATTTAAGTGTCTCTGTTAGAAAGCAGAAAAAATAAAATGGATTGATGAAAGATGGAAATAAGCAGTCAGAAAAGCTGTTAGTAGACACACTTTCTCAAATTTATTTTCAAATATTCCAGTGTTTTAATGCCTTTGCTTGGGGGGGGGCGGGGAACAGTCCTGGCTTTAATAAATTTACACATAATTTAATCTACTAATCTTGTTTAACTCTGTGGGCACTCAACAATCAAGTCCAGGCCCTGTATTTTATGAAGATTTATCAGATAGTGGCATCTGATGAAAACTATCAGATGCATCAGATACAAATCCCAATCTGCAGAGATTCATAGAAATGCTTAGCTCCACAGCAGTGCAGCTGTTTTCATAATGTGTTTACTATGCAGGAGTCACCATAGTGAAAAACTAAACATGGAAGGAGTAGCTCAGAATGAACATTCATCTGAGAGATCTAGACACCAGAGTTTCAGGTGCAACTCTGAAAAAAGGCATAACACCCAACGAAAAAAGAAAAGAAAACAATGAACACATTTAGGTGACAACCGTAGAGCTATACAGAACATGTTTTCCCTCTCCTGCAGCATTTGAAGATGCTCATATAGAGTTTAAGATGATCTTTGTTATTTTCTTCACCCAGGCCATAGATCTAACTTATTTTAAAGAAGTCTCACTTTGGAAATCAGTATTAATACATGTATCCTCACTCAGCTCAGCAAAATAGCCAAGGATGGTATAAGAACCACTTTACTCTTTCCACCCTTGAGGTGGTCTTAAAGAACAAAGCTGAGATGAAACGTCACTGCCAAACTTTTATGGCCAGAAAGAAGGACTTCCAATGAAGGACTTCCATTTCTTGTTTTCTTATAGCTAACACTTTTCACAATTGTGGTTTTTCTGAGGAAAGTAGAAAAGTTTTCACCACTATGACTTTGAGTAATTTTTATTTTTTTAAAAAGTCTGATCTGTCACTTTACATCGACAGAAAAGCTTTTATTTTGAACACACCTTGGGCTATTGTTGCCATATGTTGGAATTAAGCAGGGAAGACAGCAACAATTCTGAGAAGAACCAGGCTGTCACTGCTTACCATGTTCCGCCACGCAGCAACTCGGTCTCCTCTGGTTCAGCCTACATACTGATGATACTACACAGACATCTGATATTATTATAATTGCTGCAATGTATTTTATAATCCTTCCATACGTCTAAGACTTCTTATATGAACACATATTAACAGTTAGGGGCATCATGCAGCCTTCTCCCCCATCTGCCGTTATTTCTAGGAGGACTGAAAAAACCTTCCTCTTTTGTCTTTTTTCCTGTTAAAGGCTGCACTTTAAAGCTACACTTTAAAATGGCTAGATATGTCATAACTTAAACATACCTAATTTGGGGGAACAGGAGCAATTCATGCTTCTGTGAGAATGTTTTAAGATGAAAGATTTTTGTTACGCCCATGTCACTATGTCATTTTAGCTTCACATGAAAACTAAATATCCAAAACCACAAAAGACTACAGAGACAGTACTTTGAAATGAAATTTAAATTCTGCAACATAGTTGTGGGATCTCACAGTTAAAACCAAATTACAATTATGCAGCAACTTACATGGCCACATAACCACATTATATTCATAACTTCAACTGTGACATTACTTTTTTCACATCTGATGAAGCTCTTGGCATATATAATTTTAACTTGAAAACAATGGTGGACTCATGTTTAGTAGAACACTGTACCCTTTCGGAATTCCTGGAGCTCAACATATCTGTTGCAGGGGGAGGCGGGAGGGAAAGCCCTAAGGAGTTTAGAATAATGCCAGGCAGCACTTCACTAAAGCTCTGCAGTGCAAATGAAGAAACAGAAAGTTAAAACTGCAGTTCTGAAATCTAGGGCACATGAAACCCCAGAATAACAAGATGTCAGGAATCCTTCACATCCACAAATCTCAACAGGACAGAGGATACTAGGAGTCCTCCAGAAACTCCAGGCGTTCCCTGATGTAAGCTGGGCAATTCTGCAAGAACCCCACTTCACTAGAGACCACAGCTCTGCATTGACAAGTTTTGCTCGCATTGCTGCATTGGTGGGGGACAACAGAAAAGGGGGAGGGCAAAATTAAAAACTCTCAAACACAGCTGACAGTCTTCAGTGAAGATCGTTACACTGTCAAGTCATCCATTAATAAAACTATACCAACCAACCCACTAGTGAGATGCAACAACGCCCAGCAAGAGAATTCTTCTGCAGGTATGGATTCACCGACTTCTCAGTAGAATAAATTTTATGTTAGACAAAAGCCTTTTCGGTGATACTGTATTTTTATTAGGATTTATTGCCATTATCTGTGTCAGAGATTTCCCTCACTGTCATGGTAAACACCACCAAACAGGCTTTAGCCAGGAGGCATCCGAGACAGTTTGAAGAGTAAGGTTCCCTCTTAAAGATCCAAGTCAGAGCTGTTATATGCCTTTTTCTCCATCTTGCATGGACGTGGAAGTGCTCACTGGCAGGAAAGCAGAGGAACCAAAACCAAGAAAACTGAATATTTGCTGTGGGAGAGGCAGTTAGTTTTGCTTCCTTAAACACAGAGCTATTATCAGTTCTGTATGTTTTCAAATCTTCTGTCAGCAATTTAAAGCTTATTCCACTGACTCAGAGAAAGCAGAGGCAAGCCTTCATAAAGTACTTCTGAAGAAAACAGCATATTCTGCAACTCAAGTAGACAGTGAGGTCTCTTCTAAATGGGATAAATTTAAAAGGTTCAAATCCAGGAAAAAAAAGGAGAAAAATGTAAAAAAAAGAAAAAAATCAACTAACATGAGAACAACAGATTTTATTTTCTACTTTAGATTGTATCAACAGAGAAAGGAAAACTAAGGTGCTGTTGCCTGGAAACAGATTGCAGGTAACATCCTGATATCTCGACCTTAAGACACGGTGAGGCCTAGCAGTCACTCACTTACTGCTGTAGTGGGTAACAGGTAACACTTGGAGGCCATTATACAGTGGATTGGGGAGGGGGGTATGTGTGCAGAACAGATTTGTACCGTACACACAAAATATTCCTACAATAAATAATAGGTGTAAAAGGCTTCCATTTGACAGTAAAAACTGAAGAAACAAAAATGAAAACCTGTTTACAATATCCACTGAGATTTTTAAATCTTGTGTAAGTTCAAGAATCAAATGTCCTATAAGAATATTCAAATTATTATCTACTTTGTATTAATAATTTATTTTTATGTATTTTAATAGTCTAGCATCCATTTGCAGACACATCAACTCAAATATTAACCAAAACCATCATTTTCAGTAACAACTCTTTTTACCCACATGTAGCTCAATAAGGGAAGCAAGTCTTTGAATCACACAGATATTGCTCTATTTCTCTCTCCCAAGAGAAAAACAGCGCAGCTTTGACAGGTGGCTTTTTCCTCTGCTATTGGGCTCTTGGAATAACTTTTTATGGCAAGGAAAGGTTTTGCAACGAAAAGCATGGGGGCTTTTGGAGGGTAGATATTGACAGAATTATGCCATTTACTGTAATGAAGAAACCTGTCTATTAGATAAGTTAGAAAATTCGGTTAAGAAAGAGCCTTATTCATTACGATGAATTAATATTTTCCATTTTCATATGAAAATCATGGCAAAGCTAACACACACATCTCTAGGTCTGACTATTACCTCCGAATTAGCCTGCTCTGCCTGCAAGTGCTTGCACTCGTCTTTCAGCTTTTCAGATTCTCTCTCACGTTCCAGCGTCATTTTGTCCATCAGCGTCTGAACTTGGACCAGCTCCTTTTTCAGGACGGCCACATCTTCCACACCAGGCCTTTGTAGCTGAAAAGTTAAAAAGTAGCAATGAGCAACGTGCTGTCAGCAGACATGCTTCCAGTGTCAATGTATCTCTAAAAATCCTTCAAATCACCAATTTATAGACAACGTGACATATACAGTATTACAGCTGTGGGGGAAAGAAAAAAAAAAAAGAGAAAAAAACCAAAACAAACCAAAACCCCAAAAACCAAACCCACAGAAAAGTACGTATCATTCCCAAAGGAAACAGGATTTAATGGCTGGTTGTCAGTTCTTGCCTACTAAACTTTGAACTTGTTGATCGATTTCAATCAAGTCTGACAAATGGGATAAGGTCTCAAAGATTAAGTTTCTGTAATTTTCATGTAGGTAGACGGCTAGGTTCAGGAGGAAGACCTTCCCTGGGAGAAAACACTGAAGTGACAGGGAATCCATGCAAGAAACTTATCTGAAGTCACAATTCCCTGAGAAGTAGGCTGTATTGACTCCACTACTCTGTAGAAGAGATTACTGTATATACTTTACTGCTGCAATACTCACAAGCCCCTCTCAGGACTGAGACACATAACAATCCAGTACTACACAGACTTTTAGAGTGATACTGCCTCTGTCTTCAAGAACTATTTCAGAAAACCACAAGAACAGACAAAAAAAGGGCAGCTGAAGGAAACTTCTTGAAGGAACTGTCAGGCATGCCTCATACCAGACCCATAGGTAAAATCTGTTGGTAATTACACCTAAAGTACCATAACGTCCCTCAAAGTGAAATGCTATGGAGGGAAAAGGGAGGGGAAAGGCAATACTGGGCACTGAAGAAAGTAGAGAAAAGGAAGTGCTGGCATCTAGAAGAGAAAAGGTACGGGGAAAGGGTAAGAACACAGAAGGAGAAAGGAAGACAGGAAACAACTAAGCAGAGAGGAATGGATAGGTCCAGTGGCTAGGCACGGCCAAGAGGGACTCATGAACCCTTCAGGGCAGCTGACTACAGGGAAGAAGGGGCATAAACGAGTCCTGCTTTCCTCCAGTCTAAGCAGTGGTTGAGTGGGAGAAACTAGGAAGTCCCCTTCACTACTGCTTTAGAAGTGGCACGACTGCTGAGTCACTAGGATTGCTCCCTGGAGCCACAGCTGTATATAAAAGTCACCAGGAGCCAAAATCCTGGAATACACACACATTGGTATTATCAGCCAAGCACAGGAGGGACAACATTAACATAGGCATGGTGATGACAGCTGCCAGCCTTTCAGCCACCACATCACAAAACACCTCTCTGAGCACTTCTTATGAATACAGCTGTCCAGGGACAGTCGGAGCATAACACCTCATGGAAAAAGGGTGATCTCAAGACAGCTGTGGAGGTCAGCAATGGCATGCTCCAAGTACAGGCCTACACAGCACATCTATACACGTAATACCTTGCAAAATTGCTGAAGGGTAGAGCATAAACCAAGCAGAGTATAAATACAATGTAGGGTAAATTTTAATATCTAAGTCAGAAACAACACATATTTCCTCACTGGAAAAACACTGAAAATGTAGGTCAGTGCAACAGATCAGAAACAATGGTTTTCTGAACTTTTTAAGCCCACAAGCAGACATCTCCAAGTTCAACAAGAGTTTGGCTGCTTTAAAACTGCATTTGCAAGCATTTAAGTATATCCCTCCCTTGACTTGAAAATAACAAAAAAATTAGTGTGGTGTGAATACCAGCTCTGTCTTTAAGTCTTCCACTGTACTTCTCTCCTTCTGCAGTTCTTGTGTCAAGTTTGTCACTTTCTGTTCTGCACCTTCCCGAAGGCTGATTTCTTCATCATACTTTGATTTAAGATCTAGTAAGAAGGAAGTTGAATAAATGATCACTTGCACAAGTTGCACAAGCAGAGGACACAATCAGACCTCATGTTAATAAACTTACCCACAATTTCAGTGGCCAGTTGTGCCGCTTTTTGCTCAAATAAGTCTTTCATTTGCTTAATGTTAAAATTTTCTATTTGGATCTCTTCTAGTTGTCGTTCTAATGATTCTATTTCCATAAAAAGAACAGTATTATTTTCTGGAAGAGCTAGAACAATACAGTTACTCATGCCCATAGCAAACCACAGCAGGTAAATAAGAAATCCAAATTCACCTAACATCCAATTAGCTTAGCAAAGTGAACAATTTTACTGAAGTTAAATATCTACAAGCATGACACTGGAACCTGTCACTAGTTGAGTACTCTGCAGGATTAAGTACATATTGGTTTTCACTGGTCACAAATAGCCCTTCAGATCACTGCAACATGCTGCTGAACTGCAATTAGAAGTTCTTTACTCATGGTCAGTCAGATACTTTATGCACACATAAGGAAAATTTTATTCCATGAGTGCCTCATGGGGAAAAACACAGAGCAAAAATTATTGGTCTGCAAAACAAAAAAAACCCAAACAAAACAATTCATTGTTTTCTTTGCTAGCAATGAGTACAGAAAAACACTAAATAAAACCAGCATTTACAAATGCTATAGTTAAAATATCAACAACCACTGTCTTCCTCAGCGAAAGACTTGTACTGAATGCTTGAATACATGAAATGATTAAAAACATGTCCAAAACTACTCATGAGAACTGCTTTCAGAGCCAGGAGAACTCCTGTCTCACTTCTAGAAATTACACATTCTGAGCCTCTGGAACATTTTCCCAGACAACGGGGGGATAGATAGTTATCAAGAGCTCTTAAGCGCTTACAATGAATTTTTTTTCCCCGTAGTTGTACCATTCCAGCTTTCTAGCTCTTTAATTTACCAAAAGTGCTTTTTCATAAACCTAAAAGCTCCACTGAAAAAATTTTCAGACATTCCAGAACAATGCAGAAATTAATATAATAAAATGTTAGCCACCTGTAGATGTAGCCGTTGTCAATCCATCAGACTTAGAATCCTTAAGAAAACAGAATAAATGCATCATTAGACAGGAGGAATAAAAACTACTACTTCCAAAGTTCATCCCATTTTTGGAAAAGACAGGGAAATAAAGACTTCTGTGCTCAAATACTGCACAGCAGTATAAAAATACCTGATTTCAAACAGTTATATCTGGAAAACTGGAAAAGGACAAGGTGATTTTCCATTTAATGTATCACTACACTGTGAGGCTTCCAGACTTGCAACACTCCAGTAACAATCCCCTCCCCCTCCCTTTCCTCAATATTGAAATCTGCCCTAAAAACAGAGGTTACAGACATCATTAGATACATTCTGAGAAGGCATTCTGTCAGAACGCAATTTCTGAGGTTTGTAACAACCCAGTATCTAATAGTATAAAAGTAGTAGTATTACTCATAGTAATAAAAGAAGTGAGAGCTTCCTTAGGGCACAACACACCACAATTTGCCTTGCCTTTTTTGTTCAGTTCATCTGGACATCTGTGAAATCACACTACTGTTCTCCAAAAGTTCTTACAAGAAAGACGCCATCACCCTTTCTCATAACAGATGAAACACCACATTCGATTTATTTTCTTTGATAAACTGAGTTCTGAATAAGCCCAACAGAAGGAAAGTCTGAACTGAACTTGTAGTGAGTAGTATGGAAGAATCATTATCTACTCTGACTTTGTTCTTCAGATTTATATATACGGTTACATTGTGGAGAGTTAACTAGCTTTGTTTTCAAGAACATGTCAATATTCAAATTATGGAACTAACTAAATCAGGCCACGTGCCTTACAAAAAAGGTATTAATCTTCAATGTCAATGCTGATGATAAACCTGCTTCAAGTATTTTAAAGCAATTACTTGCAGCCGCTGCCCCTGCAATTTCTCTAGCTTTTTTGAACCCCCCCCCCCCCCGGGGGGGGGGGGGGGGCAGGGAGGGAGAACGGAGATGGGGGAAAGAGAACTGTAAATTTGGTTGCTTAAGAAAGTGGAACACTTTGCAATTTGAAACAGAGAACCAAGTGCAAGTAAAATACATTTCCAACCTTTAGCGAAGCTTGCAAGTCTTGGACTTCTTGTCGGAGCAGTGATACTTCATCTCTGAATAAATATATCCACGGAGTGGAGAAAATGAATACGCAGTGGTTATATTTTGTCAATTACATACAGGTTATAACGTGTATTAAATAACTGAAGTGATAGCCATGTACTACATAAATATAACTTACATAATTATAAATAGTTATTTTTAGATTTTTTGAAACTTGGAACAAACTGGATTAATAGATACTTATTAGTTCACTTTGCACATCACTTGAAAAATGCTAAACATATTAATTGGATAAGCAAAGAAATAGATACGCAAAAAGTCTCATGAAAACAGAACGTAAGTCTAAATCAGTGCATCAGCTCAACCACATGGGTTCAGAATGGCAAAGCTGTGCATTGGGACATTTAACTGTTGTGCATGCCTTTTTATGAAAAGGACAGATCTATTCTCCTTCATTTTCCGTATCATGTAAGGGAACACTGCTAAGAGCACGCTATCTTACTCCTTTTGAAATACGCAGTTACATAATTTTTCATCCACACAGCAATTTGGTATGCCCCACAGATACACTCACTTAATGGTCTGAACGTTTAAAGTCTTGGGATTTTAAATTCTCAAATTTCGTGCTCAAGCTTCCAGCCCTGCAAGAACACAAGATCCAAGCCTAAAATTATCACTAATTGACTTAGATAGCACCCTTGTAAATCGCAGGTCTCCTTACAGAATTGCATAACTATACATACAAGGATAATGTTGCATTACTGAGATACAGGCACTCCAACTGCAGAATACACAGGTCATTAAAATAATGCAAACATACCCTTTCTTACTGTTGTACAGTGACAACACTGAGGAGTACATAGCATATATGTGTGTGGGTGCCAATGCCAACAAATTCTCTCAGTTTTACACCACACAATTTTGTTGCTGCTGTGCTGCATTATCCCCTCCTCCACAGATGTTCTTTTAAATTATCTCAGACTTAGGAGAAAAAAAACACCAAAGCAAGCTATTCTTTAGCTAAACTGGGAAGGAATAGATTCAACCTACATTAGCATATTAACATCAGGTCAGGGTCATCAAGAAGCAAGTGAAACACACGCACTTGAACCAGTGAAGCAAGAACTCCAAGGTGGACTAATTTTAATGGAAAAACAAACATGGGATAATGGGAGGCTAATTTTTTTCAGAGGAAGATTTTCTGCTATTTACACATTATTCTGCCTGTGTGAGACATTCCCTGGAGGTCTGCAAATACAACTTTACTGAGACAGGCGTAGCTGTAACGCAAAACCCATACATTGGTTGTGGGTGGAGAAGAGGGAGCAGCTTTCTCACCGGTCTAAGTAAGAGTAAGCTAATATTCACACCTAAGATTATAAATGAAATCTCAGGCAGGTGAAACAGTTAACTATATTACAGTTGGGCCTGAACATATACCAGATCTGCAACACTACAGCATATAAGATGTTCTGGTCTTCACAGCAGATAAAAGGCTTTGAGCTGTATAAAAACAGTTTGTAGTAAAAGGGAAGGAGGAGAGGAGGAGTAGGGGAAGAGAGAGAGTTTGTAATGTAAGGACCCTTCTACAGTAGTTGTTCTGATATTCCCAGTGCAGTTTTGCTTGACAGTTTTAAGATGAAAACTAAATTCAGTTTAACTGACCAGTGGAAAATTAATGGGGGGAGAAAAAGGTGTAAGGGATCACTCTAAACATTGTAACTGTTTTTCTTACTACCATCAAAATCCTCACCAAATCTTCCTTTCTGCTAGGGCTGTTACAATCCCTTCCTCCTCTCAGCACATCTCCTCAGCCTCACCATCTGGCAAATATTTTCTTTATGCTCCACTCCATTCCCCACCTGTAATGCCGGTGCCTCCATCCTAGCACCGAGTACCAATAGCCTTGAGAATCACAGAATCATAGAATCATTAAGGTTGGAAAAGACCTCTAAGATCATCAAGTCCAACCGTCAACCCAACACCACCATGCCCACTAAACCATGTCCCTAAGCGCCTCATCTACACGTCTTTTAAATACTTCCAGGGATGGTGACTCAACCACTTCCCTGGGCAGCCTGGTCCAATCTTCAACCATTCTTCCAGTAAAGACATTTTTCCTCACGTCCAATCTAAACCTC